CTTGGAAGTACAAGTGTACAAGGGGTGGGGAAAATATTTGAAAAATGGTTGAAAACGCATTCATTATCACAAATTTGGGATTTAATCTATGCAAATTTTTCATTTGGTTATTTTATGCCTTAGTTCGTGCATCTCAAATAAGAAGCTAGCATTATAGGACCTCTTTTCTCCTTGTTAAGATTTTAATCCAAATGGAAGAATTCTCACCCCTTCTGCTCTGCTATCTCAACACCTCTTTCTGTTATACCATATCCCTATTTCCCTTTTCCAAATCCCATTAGCACTCTAATTGTCAAGGTGCAATCCTAACACGTCCATAGAAGATGAATAATAATAAATAAATAAAACTTTATTTATACCCCGCCACCATCTCCCCAAGGGACTCGGAGAAGCTTACATGAGGCCAAGCCCAACAGTATATCAATAAACAAAAGCAATAAACAAAAACAATAAATACAATACAATTAATATAAATCACATATAAACAATAACCAATAAACAGTAACACACAAGGATTTAAAAACCTATGGCCGGGCCATGAAGGCAATCTCTCTACAAGCCTTTATCTTGGTTGCATATGAACAAGGTAGAAGATACTTCCTCCTTTCTTTTATTTTATTTATTTATTTATTTATTTATTTACTGTCCTTGTATACCGCCGTTTCTCAGCCTAACTGGCGACTCAACGCGGTTTACAACAAAATATACAGTGCACAGTATACAATTAAAACCATAAAAACATAATACACAATATTACACGTAAATCACAATCCAATACATCTCCTAACTAAAATCGTGGTCCAATTGCATCATCCATATTACCAATCCGTAATCAACACATTCATTGCACCGAATTAGCCAAATGCCTGCTTGAACATCCAAGTTTTTAGTCTTCTTCGGAATACCATCAGCGAGGAGGCTGATCTTACCTCCATGGGAAGGGCGTTCCAGAGCCGAGGGGCCACCACAGAAAAGGCCCTGTCTCTCGTCCCCGCCAGCCGCACCTGTGAAGCAGGCGGGATAGAGAGCAGGGCCTCCCCAGAAGATCTTAGGGTCCTGGTGGGCTGATAGGCCGAGATACGTTCGGATAGGTAGGTTGGGCCAGAACCGTTTAGGGCTTTAAAGGCCAACGCCAGCACTTTGAATTGAGCCCGGTAGCAAATCGGCAGCCAGTGGAGCTGGTGCAGCAGAGGAGTTGTGTGCTCCCTGCGCTCCGCTCCAGTTAGTATCATGGCTGCCGACCGTTGGACTAATTGGAGCTTCCGAGCCGTCTTCAAAGGCAACCCCACGTAGAGAGCGTTGCAGTAGTCTAAACGGGATGTAACCAGAGCGTGGACTATCTTTTCCTTCTCTACCATTTCTTCCAGTTTACCCTCTAAGTCTTAATGCCATTTTCAACTGGTAAATAACTTGGAAGAAAGAAGGAGCTCAACAAATCTGGGCTGCTTCATGAATAAGCCAAACTGTCTCATACATAAACTTATCACTATGGAGGGTTGGGTGGTAAGAAATACTTATTGCTCTTCACTCTTTCCACATTTTATATTATTATCAGATATGGGAGCATTGAGGGAGCCAAGAATAGGATAAAAACACAACAAAGCAAACACCTCTCATTGTATTGTAAAACTAGGAGACATTTTCAGACTACAGAGATATTAATAAGATTGTAACTGACAAATATGAAATATGAAGATGTCCCTTTATCCACAGCAACAGTCAAAAATCTTACCTTGAGATTTTTGCTAGCTTTGGCAATAAGAAGAAATAGCAAGACTCTGGTATTTTACCATATACATTCAACCTCATGTATAAGTCCTGGGAGGTTTCGGGGTCAAAAGTATGGATTTGGATTTGAGCCGGTAATTCAGGAGTAAAAGATAGGGCCATGTAACAAAGAAATCTTTTCCTCTCCTTTTAAAAATTCACAGTGGGAACATACTTACGAAATTAAGAAAGCCTGTTTATTTGAGGGGTTTAAATGGGGGTGGGTGAAAAATGCATGGTTGAACGGAAAATGTCTCAATTTATACAAATATCAATAGGGAAATAAATCCAGGAAATGCAACCTGTCTCTATTAGGTAGGGGCCCAACGTGAAGGCAATGATGAGAGGCAGGAAGCACTGTTACTCCTACCTTGCTCAAAACAGAGAAAGACAGTCAATTCTCCATCCTCATTCTCTTTTTTGGCCTGAATAGAATTCATCAACAACATAAGAAAGCCATTTGGGGTGCTTGAAATGGAGTTGCCATTTTTTATGAGGGCTTTCCACATAAACTTCTCTGAAGAAATACTGCAGCAGCCATTTTTAATTGGGGCATATTGTATAAAATTGTGTATATAAGTTGATCCAAGTTTGAGGTGGGTAATTTTTTGGTCCTTTTTGTTTTATATATACATGAGTATATATGGTTAGATGCTGGGCAGGTTTATGTTTTGCTGTCCAATTCTCATCTTGTGTGCTAGGGAACACATAATGCGCATTTTAAACAAGGAAAGGACAGCATCGCTATTTGCCACTAAAGCAGCACTGAGGCTGACAATGAGACTTTTTAAAAACACAAGATATTCTAATAAGATATTCTAATAACAAAGCACAATTTGATTAAAAACATAAAGTATATTAATGAAGAAAATGTAACATCTATCTGACTAAACAATTAGCAGTTTCAAAAATCTGAATTTTACCTATTGATGGAAGAACATCAACAATCTTTTTCACTTTTTTAGGTGAATGCATGGCTTAATAAAGATGACGAGTATTCACTATGGAATGTTTTGAGGTATGCAACGTCCAACTCACTATTTATAATCAGAAAGGCAGACACCTACACACAGTCTAGACAGTGAGTGATGAGCAGTCTACATCTACTTTAATAATATCTGACTACTGACGCTGTTATTCAGTGAATGCGTATGTTTCAACAAGGAAAACTAGGACAGGGTTAAAGCCAACTTTTTTCTTGAACAGATGATATTTCAGATGGCGACACTATTCCAGATGCATCAATTTCCTTGAAAATCGAATCCATATATGTGCATATGCTGTGCTGGCAGGAGGACTGCCTGAAATGGCCCTAACCCAAGAGCTAATATTCTTTTGGCCAGAATAATGCAATTATTATTTTCCTAGCTATCAGTCTAAGCATACAGAGCCATCTGTTACGCAAAGCAAACATACACATCTCAATTACAGAAATGCAGTTGCCTTGACAGAATTTGGATTACACTACTAACCAGGGCTGTAAAATTTGTTTTAAGCTGGTGTATAATGGATGCCTTTCAGGAGCTCCCTAATTAGCATTTACCTGTTTAAACTAATTATTCATCCTTCTTCTTTTTTGTTGGTTTATTTCACTTTGTTGGGCACAATACACAAAATAGATTAAAATGAGCATAAGAAATCAGTATATGCTACATTTCTGCATGATTTACATTTTTGTTGATACCCATGTTCCTTATAATGGCAAATTGTGAAACATCTAATTTGTGTTCACCTCTCAAAAACAGAAGAAAGGAAGGAGAAAAGCAATCCAAAGCAAGTACAAATGCTTAGTATAAAGCTAAGGAGTTTAAAAACACTATTACAGCACAATCCTCTTATATGCAGATTTGGTATCCAACTCCAAAAATATCCTCTGCACCAGAAGCATTTGTGGGTCTCAATAGGCCTCAGTGCAATACCGAGATATGTCCCAACCAAAGTATAGTCAAAATACAGGGTTTGAAATTATCCACAGTTCCAGATATTCACAAGGGATCTTGGAACATATCACCAACAGATGCAAGGGCTGTACTGTATTGTGTTCTTATTTCTCTCATTTTATTTCCTAAATTTTCAATATATCCAATATGAACACATGTATGAATGACAGATGCATAAGAATACAACACAATGGTTTCCATACTGAGTGAGATTATGCAGTCCAACATCTCTATAAAGGTATCAAATTAGGGAAGACTACCACAGACATTTTGTTTGAAGGACTAATAGTTGCTATTTTATTACCTAATGCTACTTGAATCTTTTTTCTCCCACACGACTTATTTAGGTATCTCATTTTATTATTTCAGAAAATTATTTCCAGTTTGGCTTAGAGCAGCACAACAAAACCACGATGCTTAAAAACTTTCAGCCCTGAGAAGTCTCTCCTAACAATCATGGCAATACAAGCCATTAATTTAATATGGAGACATTCTCTACAAGGAGACATAAGTATTATTACAATTCTTGAGTTTCTCGAGGATGGCTGCACTAGAGGCAGAATATCTTACCTGGCAATTCATCAAGCAAACAAAATCTCCAAGTGTCCTAACCTTTTATTTCAGGATGCCTCTAAATGCTACAAAAAAGCTGAGCTGTTAGCAACAAAAAAAGAAAAAGAAAAAGAAAAAGAAAAAGGAATTCCTCTATTTCCATAGATGTAATTTTAAAAAGATTAGTAACGAAATAACTGTAATTAAACTATGGCTATTTTATTCAAAAATGTCCCTGCAATTTTGCACTGAACATGTGAAAAAGTAGCAAAATGTGTCCTTCTTGGAAACCTCCCTGCAAGTAATTTTAATGGTCTCTTTCAGCATTTCTTGACTCCAAATGACTCCCTGTCATTGTGTCAGCTCCCAGGATAATGCAGGGTACTCCATAAACATCCAGTAATAGGACACAAGGGAAGTACTATTAGTGTGTCCCTTTCCTACCAGGTACTGAGGTTTAAAGTTCAAAACAACTGAGGAAAGAAACTTCATTTGTTCTCAATAAATTAATAATGATCCTTTGTGGGAGAAAAAAGTTATCCAAGTTCTGTCTTTTTTCTCCTCCATTTCTTTTCATCTGAAGATTATATACCCACTCATGATTTTTAAATATTTTCTAGGGTAGAGAAGATACAGCCATTAAATCATAGATTCAAAAACATACAAAATGTTCCAAAACAGATTATTGCTTTTAAAATGATGACCACGAGACTGGAATTTCATTATTAATTTCCTACTTACTTGGGATAGGCCAAGATAGATGGAGACTGTTTCGGAAATGTACAAAAATTTTCCCTCCTGGTTTAGTGCAAATACAAATCCATCCAGTGACTGCAAAGTAAGAAAAAAGTGAGAAGTTTGTTATATGATGATATATTTCATGAATAGATGAAAGCAAAGGAATCACATAATATAGTCTATTCTCGCTATTGAAATTAACATATATCATAATTTTTAACACTTTAGTTTTGCTCAGCCTAGAAATGAAAATTATGTATTTGCAGAAAATATAGAAAAGAAGAACCACAGTAGATTGTAATATTTTTTTTCAATTAACAGTGGATTATGGTCCTCTTCTTTATTCACAAATGTATCCCACACACTGTTTTTGTGTGAATACAAACAAAACTAATCAAAAGATTACTGTCAGATAGGTTCACACCTGTAGACCACAGAAGTCTTGTGAGTTTAATCTCTTCAGTGTCAACATGTACATTTAAATATGATTTTAGCAGGTGTAAAGATTTAGATAAAGTTATATATTAGTATATTAAAGCATGTGAGTCATTGTTATACATGCATTAATGAAGTTCACCTGACACATTAATAATTATCAAACAAAAAGTACTATTTATAACTGAATCAGCCCACTTTTGTCTGATGATTTCTAATTGTTCAACAATACAAGTCCTTTTATTATTTATTTATTTATTTATTTCGAGTATTTATATCCCATCCTTCTCACCCCTGGAGGGGGACTCAAGGTGTCTTATTTCACTAGTCTTCAAATTATACCTCATTCCCCCCACACGTTGAGAGAACTATTGCCTTCAATATTCTGATGCAAAATATGCTTGTTTGAGACAAATTATCTTCAAAAACTAATATTTTCATTTTTGAGCAAACAACAACCCTATTTTTGTTTTAATGTTATTAATGGGGGTGCACTTTGCTTCTTGAGAACAACTGAATGTCCAGCAATGTCCCAGGAACCTATCTACTAATATTTCTGTTTCTATAGGCAGCAGTGGTAATGAATTCAGTTGGGTGACTCCAATGAAACAGATGGATCTGAGGAGATTTTTTAAGACCATCAGATCTTCTCCACGCATATATTTTAGTCAATGCAGTAGAAGAGTGGTTGGTAACTTGCAGCTTGCCAGCCACATGGATCCCCACTTATTTTTGCTGATCCTACAGTCAGCTACATCACAATTATAAAATAATAATAATAATAATAATAATAATAATAATAATAATAATAATAATAATGGAGAAATCAACTCTAGGAATTGCAAGGTTTTTAAAAAACAAGATATATGTTATTCACACACATTAACCAGCATTTTGTTAGCAATACATGAAAGCATAAGTCTACTATATATCTCCATAAGCCTTTTTTGTTTGTTGTGAAGGATGATAGTCTCTTCCAACTTCCACAATTACCAAGCCCTTCCAGAACTCACAGATTTGCTCTGATAGTCATGGCTGGTGGAGGGTATAGTGCAGTGGTTCTCAACCTGTGGGTCCCCAGGTGTTATGGCCTACAACTCCCAGAAATCTCAGCCAGTTTACCAGCTGTTAGGATTTCTGGGAGTTGTAGGCCAAAACACCTGGGGACCCACAGGTTGAGAACCACTGGTGTAGTGCACCAGAGAAATGTCTGGCTATGGTCCATAGCCAAGTGCACACTGATGACTGTATCCTTTGGGATCCCAATGGGTTTTGATAGAAGACGTCATAGTCAGATGCTCTCAAGGCCCATCCAGACAGCCCCTTAAAACGTGGGAGTTCCCGCAATTAAAAGGGGTCTGTCCAGGTGACATCCCAGAGAAACATGAATTAATTCACCACAAATCAGGAAAACCCTGGTTTGTGTCAAATTAATTTGTTAGTGGGTTTATTCCATGCCTTTTTGAAAGGTGTAGGATAAACCCACTACTTCTGATGTCTGGACTGCTCCCTCAAAAGTTCTGGGCTTTTAAGGGGGTAGTCCAGACAGTAGTCTCACGGTTTTCTGGTCTAAATTATCCCAGAAAACCACAAGGACACCAACCTCCTTCCCAAAATCCCCCCAAACCTCTTTTAAAAGTAAACGAACTTACTCGGCCTCCATTAGAGTGGTACTGGTGCTCTCCTGGCACATAGAAATGACACGCCAGTAGAGAGGCTCATCATTTATACAGGCCAGGAGAGCTCCAGCACCACTCTAATGGAGGCCAGGTAAGTTCCTTTACTTTTAGAACGGGTTTTGGGGGTTTGGGGGAGGAAGTTAGAGTGTCCGGATGTTCGCCGGAAAGTTCCGGTAGCACATCTGAACACCCACTCCAGAAAGCATGTGCTTTCTGGGGTGTGTGTGAATGAGGACCCAGGAACATTAGAATTTTTAAAACGCAAATGTTCCCGGGTGAAAGGGTTTTCTGGAAGTGCCCTTAGATCCTGATCTTTTTTCTCCTCCAGTCACAAAGTAGCCATTAAGGATAATATTGCAGCAAAATGGTGAGTTCTGGGGTTGGTGAGTCAAAAATCAGAGGAGGGTTCTGTCTGGGAAATGCTTATAATATACTTGACAATATAAAATATCATTCCTCAGTTTCAGTTTTTAAAATTGTCTAGAATGAGGTGTTTTGCAAACTACAAACAGAAATAGAAGGGATGGAACAGTCTGTTCGAGTCTAAATGGGAATTTGTGCCCTCAAATCATTGAGGTTGTGACAGAGAATGAAAGTCCTTAAAGAAAAAAAACTATTACTTTAATTATACAAAATCTAATATATGGGAATTCAAATGTTATTCCGCCTCTGATCAACTCTAGTTGCTATTGAAATCGTAATATCAAAACTAGCAAATATTTTGAGAATATATATATAGTATATAGTAATCTCACTCTCTTTCTAACACCAAGAAGTGATATGTAATAATTTGTTTGTTTCTTGATTAATTTCCAACACATAGATGTCAAGAAGCTAGTCTTGGTTAGCATTCACCCTTCTTTGATCTCAGAGGTAGAACTATTCTTTTTAAATAATAAGCTGTTCCCTCAAAGAAAGAACCATTTATTGGAAAACAAACAGTAACGTTACCATATTAAAGAAAGCAGCTTCAATTTATATTTATGAATTAATAAAAATGTAAATCTGCATACATTTTAGTCAAACAAAAATATTTATACCATGCAAGTGGCTTATCTGGAAAATTATCATAATTTCTTTTCAGATGATTAGCACAGGAACCTTGAATGCTGACATCAATTACTGGCAAGCAATTTCAAGTGAATAACTTTATATTTGTCCCACACCAAGAACACACTCAACATTTTAGATTTTGAAAACAATCCACCAAGAACTCCTTGAGTTTATCCACTTTTATTCCTATGTAAGAAGAATTGATATTAAAAGAAACTGGAGGCTCAGATCTTGATAGACTTTACCTATAATACTGTATTGTAAGTATTTGGTACTATAGTACTCCAAGATTTTTTGCTGTCTCTGAATGCTTTCTTCCTTTGCACAGGGGATAACAGGGCAAGACCCTAACATAGTATATCCAAAAGCTTTTGATTTGGATTTTTATTGAGAACTATAGTTTTTCATTTCTGACTATAGGAGCCTGTTGAATCCTAGATGGATAAACCACCATGGTGCTAGCAATATCTAGTTTCTGCACTCTTCACAGGAAGTTATGGAATTATAGATGGTAAGAAAAAAGGAGACAATCTCTCTCATACACTCAATATTGAATATTGGTTCATTCAATATCCTTTAACAATGGGAAGTTCCGGACAAAAATGAAGTGCATTTTTACCCATTAAAGGTATACAATTTGCTTACACAATACGGGGTGACAAACACAATATGGGGTGGCTTTCAAAAAGGAAAGAATTGCTATGTGACCTTGAGCATTTGTGACACCATGGTTTTGAATAAGAAACTGGTAATCTTACTTTTTGACTATAGATCTGAGAATCTAAAAAGAAATATTTCTGAGCTCTGTGATGAATGATAGTTACCAGGAGACAATAACAGGAAATAGCTATTACCTTGGTGTATAGTTCATGGATGCTCAATGGACATCTGGTTTGCCACTGTGGGGCAACATGGTGCTAAATTAGGTCCCATTGGTATTTTAAAAATGTGGGTTTTTTATGTTTAAAAATATTTTCATGTTCCTAAAGTTTTACTAACTCATGCTAAAACAAGCTGCAGTTCTCATAATTTTGATGTAACAGTGTTTAAACCTGGCAGCTACCAAAATCTTCCTGTGCACGAAAGAGGAAGTGTCTGAACCTCAGGAACATAGAAAAATCAGATTAATTTCAATGCTTGTGTTTACTAACAATTTAATTTGATGAATTTAAATAAATTCAGAAAAGCATATTTATATATATATGGCTCCCTACTATTATGAAGAACAAATATAGGATGCAAGAATGCTGTAATTATAGTCAACATTAGAGGACTTTATGGGGCCCAGTTTTCTCTCATTTGGGTGTCTTTCTGACATGGGTCTTGTTACCGAGACAAAGCTTTTTATTGGATGGTACAGCTCACTTCAGAAAGAAAGTTGTAAGGGAATTTTGTACTCTTGCATGTAAGGCTTTAAAATGATGTTGAGAGGTATGACAACTTCTATAAAAATTGTCCAATGCCCACTAAGTTTCAATTATTACTTCCTTAGGGGGTAAAAATAGCTGAAATCTTTGATTTAAGATTTGACACATAGCTCAGTTCAGAAGCTCATTCCTGTTTATACTGAAAGTCTGTCCGGGGGGGGGGGGGGGGGGGGGGGGGGGGAGGTTGAGATTTTTTTTTAAAGCTATATAATTTGTTGTATGATAATTTCTACGCTCAACAAATATAAAAAACTGGGCAAGGCAAAGAATTTACACGGTGTCCGATTATTGCCAGCCAGTCTCATCAAGATGCAAATTATAGTTTACACATCTACAACATTAAATAGCACTCTTTACAACAAAGTTGTGGGCCTATTTCAGAAATAGAGGCTAGGTATTGAAAAAACGGAAGATTACTGATCTAAAGGGAGAAAATGTCTTGTTTAGCAATTTCTTCAACCTACTAGCTGCGTACAAATTGTGATTAAAGTTGAGATTC